TGTTTTGTAAAATGATCTATTAAGATATACTTAAATAAATTGAATAATTAATTTGAAACTAAAACAATAATAAACACTTTCTGGTTTAATTATATAACATAATGCATTAAAGTTTTTAGATTGATAAAAAAAGCTTTCCCATTAAAAATAATAAAATCTTATAAATAAAAATATTATTTAGTGTTTTCATTTTTTGCAAAATACAAATATCTTACACTAAAATTTACGATTCACTCATTTTTTGGTTGTGACGAAAAAAAAAAGATAATCATAATAAAAAAAGTAAACCTTTGGTTAATTTATATTTTAGTCTCAGAAACTCTATTTTATCTATAGTATTTAAATAATAAATATATTATATGTGCGGTTAATAAAAAGCATTATTAACCTTTTTGAGAATAAAAATTAGTAACTGTATGAAAGATACATAGAAATGCAAGAGCCAGACACATAATAAAAAAATTAACTTTCTTTTTTATTTTTTTAAGTTAAAAAAATGTTTAATATGATAAAAAGTTTTAATATTTTTTTTTTTATGAGAATTCAAAATTGTCGAAAACATTTTCTTTGAAGAATGAATTTCATTTGATATTTTTAAAGAAAATTTCATATTTTAAACAATAAAATTTTCGTTCATATAATAATTATATAATTTTAAATTTATGTTTAATTATATTCGTTAACTTAAAAGCAATGGAATTTAATTTGTAAATATTATCCATAACATCAGTGGTAAAAAATATTTAATTAAAATAGATATTTAATAAGTATCTGTACTTTTAATAAACATATAGGATTTTTATTAAATAAATTTTCCTCAAAAACAATAAAACTCTCAATGAAGTAGGATATATAAATACATCTTTCTCACTCATAGAATTAAATCTAAATTTTAATTCAATAAACTAGTAGAGACAACTTTACATGCTCTTTATTAATTTATTTTTTCAATTCTAATAAATTCATTGAAAGAACAATTAATAAATCAGTACTATAGGAAAGTCATGAAACAGGAAATTAACATGTTGCTATTTGTATGTAATTATCTTTTTGTTCATATGTCAATTGTATCATATAAGGAAATTTTTTATTTCACTGTTTTAAGTACTAGTCAACGAAAAGAATTCTAACTTCAAGTAGATAAATCAAAAGTTTAATGTAAAATAAATAATTATATATAAAGGCAGGATATTCAAAAAAAGCTCATAATATATTTAAAAATCGTCCTGCATAGATATTCATATTAATAAGAAATAAAACTTTTTTATTTTTATTTATAATTTAATTTTAAAAAAAAAATTTATTAGTTTATCATTTTAATCATACTAATTAATGATAGAATTTATCTATTACAAAAAACCATATTACTTTTTAGTAATAATGTATATTATAAATAATTATAAATTTGTAGAAAAAATATTAGATCGTATATGTTTAAAAGCTTTTTTTATTTTGAATATATGAGTTTTAGTGAAAATAAAGTAAACCTTCAATTAAGATAGACAAGTATTCTTTATATAATAATTAATGTATTAAGAATAATAAAAATATTGAGTTAACATATTTTCATTCTAAGGATTATAAATGCTATATGAAATAAATTGTTTGTTTTATATTACATAATGAAAATATATAAAGTTATTTACTCATTAAAATGTACTTTTAATAGTAAATAACATTAGTATAATTTATTATACGTTTTCTTTCTTATTTTTCTTGTTCAATACACTACAAAGTTTTTGAATGGAAAATTAATAAATCCAATAAATAAACATATAGGAGGTTTAATATATTATGTTGACTACTTATATAATTATTGTTCTAGTACACTAATCCATGTTTTATACCTTTTGATACTTTCGTAAAACTCCTAAATTATTAGTAATTCTTTTATAATTTAACATCTTAATATTTTCATAACACCTTGAAAAGAATTTATTTGTCCTTTTACTATTTAGTGAATAATTAATGAGCTAAGTAATTAAGCATATTTATTCTATGAAAAATAAAATTATTATATTGTAATATTTTTAATTATTAGATTTTTTATTAAGCTTTTTTTTTTTTTTTTTAAGATATCCAAATGTTATATACATATGCTTGTATAAATAATACATCTAACTAATAATTAAATTTTATTAGGAATTCACTAAAAAATATAGAATACACAATTTAGTATGCCATTCAAAAATATATCTTTTATATTTTACATACAATTTTATTTTATTCAACTGTAAAAATCATTGCTATGCTTTTTTTTTCTCTTCTTTTTAGTTCCATTATTTTATATTTACTAAGTCTAAAAAAGTCTAATATTTAAAGTGCTTCTTTATTACAAATTTTTTTAATTTACTCAAATGTGCAATTACAAGAAAGACAAGAATACATTGAAATCTAAAAATAAAACATATTAATGAAATTTTAATATATTGAAGAATGAGAATGAAAGAATAATGAAAAAAATAATTTTTGTTTATAAAGTGAAGTACAGGGAAAATGTAAGAATTAATAATATTTAAATAATTCATAAAAAATATAACAGTGAAGATTCTAAAGAAATATTTTATCATATAACTAATTTTTTTATTTTTACTAATGTATAATTTTTATTTTCCTAATGTTTTTAAGTTTTATTACGGTTTTTGGAAAACTTTGTTAATTATATCATAAATAACTTTTCTTAAAATGTAATTCCTTTAGAATAATAAAGAATTAAAATAAAAATGATATCATTATTTAAAATTTATGTATTTACATTTTGTTATTTTATATATAATTGATTCATTAATAGGACGTTCAATTTATTAGCTGAGTATTCAATGATTTTGTTAATGTTAAACAAACATATTAATAAAAAGCATATAGGAAAAACTCATTTTATTTATTATAAAATAATTTGTATAATAAATTATTTATATTTAACAATTTATATTAAACATTAATTCTATTAGTAATTTGTTAAGTTAATTAATACAATACCCTGTATACATAATATTTAAAACTACATTTTTAAATTTTCATAAAATATATACCATACACCCTACAGAAAAAAAAAAATAATTTTTTTAAGGAGTTATATCAAGAAAATAATATGTAATATTTTTTTATAATATAAATACTTTTAGTTTACACATCTAGATGTCCACACTTCTTCCCTTGTATATATAATGCATAGATAAAAAACATATTTACATTATTTAAATATCATTTATAGTAGGTTAATAATACCATTCATAGATCAATATTTGATTTATTAATGGATTATTCAAAGACTTTTATAGCAATTAGTATTGTCACGTTAACAAGGATCTATGAAGAGTTCTCTACTTATCTTATTTATTATAAATATTATCTACTATATATGATAATTAACTACTTATAAATTATAATATTTATTTAACAAAAAAGTTATCTTACCTTTAAGATGAATTTTACAATATTTAAGTAACTTTTAACAATTTGTCACTTAATACTAACTTTATTATTTATTTCTCACTTGAATAAACATATACACCACTTATTGTATATTATGCAAAAAGAAAAAAGTTCATATTTCTAATATAAAAGAAAATTGTTATATACATGTTCAGATATTTGTATAATTTTTTTTGTTACATGTACTCACAAAAAAGAAGTAAGTATATTTTTTTTCACTTTATGTATTAGTAGAGTACAACTTTTTTTAGAATTGTATACTCTTATACCCTTATTTTAATATGTATATTTTCCTTTTTTACTTTGCATATAAAACTTACATTTTGCATATCTTCTTAATAAAATTTAAAATAGGTAAATAATACCATTTATTGATTAAAAAGCAAAGAAATTTTTTGTATAATTAACACACAAATAAAGAGCATGTGCAAGTCTCTCAATTATTTTTGTTTATTAGAATAATATTTCTATTATCAGTAGGCTTTACATAAATAAATTACATGGTATGAAATAATTCATTTCATATTCTATTTATATGTATTAAAAGAAAATTTTGCTAATATAATGCTTTCATTATTCTTATTTAATAAGAGAGATTTGTGCACTTTATTAAAAAGTTGATAATTTTGTGAAGGTTTAAATCATCATTATAAAAATCTTTTATGATATATAAAATAATTCTTATTATTTATTAATTAACAATTCACATTAAAAAAAAAAAAAAATAATCTCAAATAAAAAAAATTAGTTAACGAAAAAGGATTCTCCCAAAAAATTAAATTTCTTAAAAAAAAATTAATATTAAGCTTTTTCTTATGATTATAATAAATTAAAAAAATAAAATAAAATATAATTAACAAACTCATTGTAACAACTAAAAACAATAATAAAGATTAATTTTTTTTTTTTTTATATAGATATACTGTAATATTTGCACCTAGTCAATGCATTTAGTTTAATCCCTTGCATTTGCAATTTTTTTATATTAAACTTAATTCATTAATTCTTGTATTTAAAAAGATTAATAGCATCCCTCACCAATAACAACGGTATATTATCTAACTAACGAATAAAAAATTAATATATGCGAATATTAAAATTTTAAGGTGAAAAAAAGAAATAATAATTATAGTATCAAATATATAATAAATTAATTCCTTTAAAGTATATATTAAGCTTTCATATGTCAATTTATTTCTTTTTACACAAAAAATGAAATACTTCTTATTACAGAAGAAAAAATATTTCATGTATCTTAATAACTAAGAAAAGGTATAAACAAAAAAATATTAAAACATACATACAATTCTTGTTTTTCATCTTATAGAAATATTTTTAAATATTAAAAGATACAAAAATATTTGTGCAATTTATAATAAATTATAGCAGACTAATTTCAATTATTTGGTTGTATAAAAAAAAATTTTAACTTATATAGCTAACATATAGAGTTTTTTTAAGTAAGAATAAAATATTTCACTTGCACTACAAAACTTATTTCATTTTATGATTTCAACTTTTATTAATGAAATAATCTTATAACATACATAAAAGTTAATATTTTTTTATTGTGGTAATTCTGTGCTACATTTCTTAATTATTTCCACACCATATGATAGCAAAAGAATTGTGCCCTCATCTATATATCCACCATCATCCTCATTTATCTTCATAAGTAAGTGTTTTTTAATTTTTTCACTAATTTTTTGTATAATTAACAAAGCATTTTGCATATTCATATGAATGGAGTCTGTTAAATTACATAAATTATCTAAATTTTTTTTTACAGCAATAAATATGCTTTTACATTTTGCATTTAATTTTATTGATTTCAATAAATTTTTAAGTAATTCTATTTCTGATAATATTTCTTCCATTGATTTCCCTTCTTTTGAGGATTCTTCTACATCTTTTTTACTTCCCATATATTTTATTAATCTATATATTTTTCTAATTAAATTCAATAAGAAAATATAATTTTTATTTTTCACTAATTTAATAATTTCTGAATGTAATTTGATTGCTTTGATCTTCTTTTCATCATTGTTTAATGAAGAAGATAACCATGTATTATCTATACCTTTATTTCTATCTATATTAAAATATTGAAAGAATTTATTGTAACATTCTGATAAATATTTTTGTTCATAAGAAAAAATGTCATCAATTGCTTTTGCAATATCATTATTAATAGATAATTTTGGAGATGAACTAAAAATTTCCACATTATTCTTATTTGCTTCATTTAAGAAATGAAAAATAATTTGTGTTACTTTTATATTATCTTTATATGATAGATTAAGTATATCAAAACATTTTGGAGGTATATATACACTTCTATAATGTTTATGAACAACATTCATAGAATAATTCAATAATTGCATACCATTTTCTAATAGTGTATTATTTATAGAAAATTCTCCTTCGTCGAGTGTCTCTTCAACACTATTTAACAAATTATCTAAATTTTCAAATATTTTATTAAAATGTGCTTTTTCATCAGTTGATAATAATAGTATTTCGTCTATTAATTGAGAATGCACATTGCCATCAATTATTTTTTTTATACTGTTTGCATCTTTATTTAAATTACATGCTTTTTCGCTTAGGCAAGTTAAATTAGGTAAAAATTCGTCTATGCTTTTATTTATTTCATTTAAATTTATAGATGATAATTTTATTGTTTTCTTAAGTCTATCTGCTTTTTTAGAAGCTTTGTCTAATACTTTTTCTAGGTTTACATTTTTATAATTTATTTTATACATTGTCTTACTTAAAATGCTTTGATCAACATTTTTTAATATTGTCTCAATAAATTCTCTTAAATTATTAATACTTAAATTATATAGTTTCAAAAAATCATCCACAATTTTTTTTAATCCTTCATGAATACTATTTGCATTGTTAATTATGCATAAAAAGTTATGATATTCAAATGTAAAAATTTCCTTTGACAGAATTAGACATGTTTCTTCAAATAAACATTTTACATTTTCGTAGTGATTGCTTTTAGAATTACACTCAAGATTATTTTCATCAATTTTAGTAAAACATTCTTCTCTATTGCCTTCTCCTTCAAGTCTCCTTCTCTTAGCTTGATGTATGGATATTCCTCTAATATTTCTCTTTGATAAAATTTGATTTTTCTTTTTTTCCAAACAAGGATAAAGATTATTATAATATGAAACAAACCTAAAAATAAAAACAATTATTTGCATTTAAGTTATATATTCATAGTAAAAATATTTATATTTAAAATTTATTAAGATAAAATATATACTTTTGTTCAAGTAAACAAATAAACCCTTCTGTTGAAAAAAGAGGAATATCTCCTAAATCGAAAACTACTTCTTCTAAACTATGGGGTATATTAAATAATTTGTAGCTTATGTTTTTTAACATATCGGGATCATGTTCCATATAAGTAGAATTATGTAAATTAATAATTTTACTCTGTGTATCTGTACTGCTATTTTGTCTACTATGTCTTATATTTTCTGCATTATTAGATTCATTTTCCATATTCACGGAATGATGTTGTGAATTATTTTCTATTTTTTGTAAAATACTATGTAAAATAGTATAATTCTCTTGTATATTAGATGCATTGTCTTGTATGGTTTTTAATTCACTTTTTAAATCTATGATAGTATTATTAAATTTAATAGGGTCATTTTTTAAAACAGTGATTTGATTTTTTAAATTAGATACAGCATTGTGTAAAATGCTTAATTCTTGTTGCATATTTACGACAACATTTAGGAATTCACAAGCACTACCTTCTATATTAGTAGAACAATCTTGTAATTCCATGGAATTATTTTGTAAATTAATAGAATTCTCCTGTGGTACCTTGGTACTACTTTGTAAAATATCATTAATATTTTGTGAATCCATTAGTTTGTCTGACAAATATGTGTTAGTATTTTGCAAATCAGTTGAATTATCTTGTAATAACATAGAACTATCTTGTGATTCATAGGTTGAGTTATTTAAATTACTTATTTCATCTAGTAAATCTGTCAGAGTATTTATCGAATTAATGGGATCATCATCTAATACCATAGTATTGCTTTGTGAATCAATTAATTCCTCTAGTGAATTCGTGTTAGTATTTTGTAAATCAGGTGGATTATTTTGTAATAACATAGAACTATCTTGTGATTCATTTGTTGAGTTATTTAAACTACTTATTTCATCTAGTAAATCTGTCAAAGTATTTATCGAATTAATGGGATCATCATCTAATACCATAGTATTGCTTTGTGAATCAATTAATTCCTCTAGTGAATTCGTGTTAGTATTTTGTAAATCAGTTAGATTATCTTGTAATAACATAGAACTATCTTGTGTTTCATTTGTTGAGTTATTTAAACTACTTATTTCATCTAGTAAATCTGTCAAAGTATTTATCGAATTAATGGGATCATCATTTAATACCATAATATTGCTTTGTGAATCAATTAATTCCTCTAGTGAATTCATGTTAGTATTTTGTAAATCAGTTAGATTATCTTGTAATAACATAGAACTATCTTGTGTTTCATTTGTTGAGTTATTTAAACTACTTATTTCATCTAGTAAATCTGTNAAAGTATTTATCGAATTAATGGGATCATCATCTAATACCATAGTATTGCTTTGTGAATCAATTAATTCCTCTAGTGAATTCGTGTTAGTATTTTGTAAATCACTTGGATTATTTTGTAATAACATAGAACTATCTTGTGATTCATTTGTTGAGTCATTTAAACTACTTATTTCATCTAGTAAATCTGTTAAAGTATTTATCGAATTAATGGGATCATTATCTAATACCATAGTATTGCTTTGTGAATCAATTAATTCCTCTAGTGAATTCATGTTAGTATTTTGTAAATCACTTGGATTATCTTGTAATAACATAGACCTATCTTGTGATTCATTTGTTGAGTTATTTAAACTACTTATTTCATCTAGTAAATCTGTTAAAGTATTTATCGAATTAATGGGATCATCATCTAATACCATAGTATTGCTTTGTGAATCAATTAATTCCTCTAGTGAATTCGTGTTAGTATTTTGTAAATCACTTGGATTATCTTGTAATAACATAGACCTATCTTGTGATTCATTTGTTGAGTTATTTAAACTACTTATTTCATCTAGTAAATCTGTTAAAGTATTTATCGAATTAATGGGATCATCATCTAATACCATAGTATTGCTTTGTGAATCAATTAATTCCTCTAGTGAATTCACGTTAGTATTTTGTAAATCAGTTGGATTATTTTGTAATAACATAGAACTATCTTGTGATTCATTTTTTGAGTTATTTGAATTACTTATTTCATCTAGTAAATCTGTCAGAGTATTTATCGAATTAATGGGATCATCATCTAATACCGTAGTATTGCTTTGTGAATCAGTTAATTTCTCTAGTGAATTCGTGGTAGTATTTTGTGTATCAGTTGGATTATCTTGTAATAACATAGATCTATCTTGTGATTCATAGGTTGAGTTATTTAAATTACTTATTTCATCTAGTAAATCTTCCAAAGTATTTTTCGAATTAATGGGATCATCTGGAAAAATCATGGATTTATTTTGTGAATCAATAACACTGTTTAATGAACTATTTAGCTCATCTGGTAAATTTGTTAATGTATTTTGCATTGTACTGGGATCTTCATTAAATTTCTTATCATCATTTTCTAATTCAGAGAGATTTTTCATGAAAATAAAATCATTTTTTATTTGGATAATAAATCTTTTTATATTGTTTAATGAACATTGTATATTAAAATTTATATTTTCTAACATACAAATATAATCTTTTACTTCTGCATCATCGATTTCTGAAACACTTCTATTACTTTGTAAATTAGAAGTATCTTTTTGTAGGTTATACGTAATGTCTTTGAAATTATGCATTTTCTCTTTTATATCAGAATAATTATATTTTAAGGTATTTAATGTATCACCTAAATCAGATATAGTACTTATGAAATTAGAATATGGGTCCTCTACATTTATAGGAAGCTTTTTCAAATTCATTAATAAATTATCTAATTCTTGTAATGTATCTTTTAAACCAATATCTTTCAGTGCATCATTTCTTACAGTAGTATTTTCATGTACTTCATCATCAGTATTCCTTAAAATAAAAAGAAATATGTAAATACATATAATATTTTTAATTAAAATTTAAAATATGAAAACTTATAAAATATTATTTACATTTGTATATTTAGTTTTTTTATGTCATCTTCTAATTCCTGTGAAGTGCTAAATTTTATTAATACAAAAAATTGTAAAAAAAAAAAAAAGCATTTAATGGACAGCATTTTTTTTTAATTTTAAATCATTTCCATTATTACGAAATTAAAAAAATTATATATAATAGATTTATTTATTATAAAATGTAAAATATTATGTCTTTGCATTAATATCTAATAAATTTTAACTCTATTAATAAAAATTTGTATTTATAGATTTTTATATGAAAAAAAAAGAAAAAATAACATTATTTAATATATTTTACTTTATTATTGAATTTAATGTATATTATTAATTTTTTAATTTGAAAAGTAATAGTATTTTGTTCTATTATTTAATATTACTCATAAATACTTAATTTTAAGTATCAAGTTTTTGTTTTAAATATTTTACATTACATATTAATGCAAGGTATGATATACATGATAATCAATATAATTATTCAATTTTATTTGATAATATACATATGCATATTTACAAAATAAACAAACGGTTTTGTAAGCACTCAAATGAAATAAAGGAAAGATATTTAACTTATATCTAAAATGATAGTTCTTGTAATTTAACCATGCATGCTCTTTTTAAAAATAAAATAACATTTTTTTTTTTTTTGCCATTTAAAATATTTTTAAAAATTATCAAACTTATGTTCTTTTGTTTTTGTTTATATATTTGCTAAATACATATTTACTATTAATCTTTTTTTTTATTTATTTATATAAATCTTTAAATTATCTCTCAAAAAAAAAAAAAAAAAAAAAAAGAGTAGATAAAAAAAAATTCTTAAGATATTCATGACGATAATAGTTGTTTGAAAAACTAATGCATGTTATATAAAGTATGAATTATTCAAAGTTTAAAATTCTACAATTCATTATATGATAAATTGTTAAAATATTGTTTTTTTTATTATTCATAATTATAATTAATTGTGAATAATCATTATTTTTCCTTTAATTTTTTTATACCTTTTTTTCTTTTTTTTTTTTAAGTCCATATTGAGTGCTGTTTCTACTGAAAATTTCAAATATTTTAATAATGTATTCTATAAAAAAAATAATAATAATAAAAACCAATTATATATATGATTTATATATTTTAACAATTATAATTAACACAATTATGTAAGATATCATTATAAAATTATCGTAATGAGTAAAAAAAGCCTATCACCATGTTAAATATTACATATTGAATAATAAACAATAAAAAATAAAAACAGTAAAAACAATAATATTCTTATTGATTATTCTATTAATTACTTATTTTATTTTTTTTTTTCACATATTAGATATAGTTTTAATTATGTTTAAATAAAGAATTATCAATTCATTCTCTTAAAGAGAAATTAATATATTAAGGCAACGAAAAATATAGAATAAAATATTCAGAAATTACCAGAAATTTACATAAGCCATGCGAAAAAATATTTAGCAATATAATATTAAAAAATAAAAAAATGGAAAATAAATAATTACATATCTATATACAAATTATTGAAATACCGTAATATTAATGCTCTTGAATTTATTGAAGGTTTATTAAATTGTGTTTTTATGTTATTTTTTACAATGTATTCGTATATTAAATTTAATTATTAATTAAATCAAACATTTGTAAACACTCATATATGCATTTTTATGTTAATTTAAAAAAATAATTAAAACAATAAAAAGTCAAAAAAGGAAAAATATTAAAATTTAATATTCTTATTTTTTTGTAGCTTAAAAAAAGCATTTTATACATTTACCTAAATATCTAATAATTAATGATTTATTAATTAGATGCTCAAAAACCTTTGTGAGATGTTGATCTAAAAAATTAATAAAAATTATTGAAAATAGTATCCACTAATCATGTTTATTGCAACAATACTTTTATTATAGGTTTTACGTAATTTCATTGTATAAAATTAAATAAATATTTTATTTATTGTAATATTTATTATATTTTCAACAAGAGTATTAATACTATATTCTTATTATTATTAATACATTAATTATTTAATAAAGACATATGTTTAATTTAATAAAAATTTCTCCCAATTTTTCTTAAAACCTAACTCCTTAATATAAAAAAAGCTAGGTTATGTATGAAATAGCTTTTTTTTTATGAATATATAACTTTTCAAAAAAATAAATTCTTACTAAAAAATAATATAGTATTTCATGAAAAATTTATTTTTATCCATGATTAATATAATTCAATAAATTCTCAAATTAATTTCTTTTTACAAAAAAAAAAAGATAATCACGAAAAAATTTATCACAAAAAAAAAAAAATGTTATACAAAAAAAATATATATTTTTTTTTTTATTAATATGAATATACATTAATACTTTTACCTATATTTCTAAGTTATTTTCTTAAATACCTTGAATATACAGATAATTCTTCATTTTATATTACATTATACTAATAATTCATGTAGTGATTTGTTAAATGGTCATTAAAGGTCATTTATAATACTTTTAATATTCAAATTAATAAAGAATATGAAGATAATTTTCTACTTATTTTATATATTAAAATGAATTTTACAGTAACAATATAGCTTATACTGATTTATATGTTAATTTCTGCTTTATTATTTATTTTTATATTAATATTTATTTAATAATATTAACACCTATATAAAACCAAGCACATTATTGTATAAATTATTTTACCTTATAATAAATAAAATTAAAATATTTTATTATTTATCACACTTCATAAGAACACAATAAAAAAAAAAATAAAAAAAAATCCTTTTTATATATAGTATTTCTAGAGCTATATATCGTAGTGCACACTTTTAATTATACGTATTTTTCTCACATATATTACACGTACAAATAAAATTTGTTACATTTTATATTTGTCTTTATTACATTTAAAAAAATTATCAATAATTTTATTCATTAATCATACTCCATCATCCAAATAAAGTAATGAAACTACCTTATTTTCCGTTCCTTAACTTGTTTTATAATATAAAGTCTTCTTTGTATATATTTATTTACTTTATTATTTTTGTCATTTTTCAAATTTTAATATGGAACGTTATTCTTCCAAAAATATCGAAATAACTTTTAGGTTTCAATTCATGTATAAGAATGTTCTTCTTCTTATTCTTCTCAGTAACTTATATTAAATTCATCAAGTTTTATATGTCTCATTTTTCCTATTACCTAATGACGTGATCTTATTAAGTGCAATTTGAACTTCTTTACCTCTATAGTACATAGGTGGTTAATAAAAAGCTTTATTAACCTTTTCGGAAAAATAAAAGGACTAGTTATATGAATAATACGTAGTTGGTCATGCACATGAAAAAAAAAAAAAAAAAAAAAAATGATCAATTTTTTTTGTTTGCATTTTTATAAAAAAAAAGATCGTCAGAAAAAAAAAAAATCAATTGGAAAAGGATTTGTTATCAACAAGAATGAGATATTAAAAAAGAAAAAAAAAAAGGTTTTTTTTTTTTACAAAATATAATTAATGATTTTTTTTAATTTGTAAGAGAAATTTATATACATATAATAATAAAATTTTCACGTAATTAATATTTATATCATTAATTTGTATTTTCACTAATTGTTTATGTTTGTTAATTCAACAGCAATATATTTAAATTGCTGAACATAACTCATAACAAAGAAACAAGTAATATACATTTAATTAATAATCAATATTCAATAAGGATTTAAATTTTTAATAAAAATAAGGAATTTTATTAAAGTAAATAAATGCCTATTGAAATCAAAGAATACTGAATGAAGTAGATTACATAGTTAAAGATCATTCGTTCAAAGCATTTAAAATATATATAAATAAATCAAAAATCGTAGAGACAACTCTACATTCTCTTTATTAATTTGTTTTTTCAGTCCTCTAGCAAAGTCACCGAATACCCAATTAATAAAACAATAGGTAATGTTTTTACTTTTCAGTTTTCAATCTTAGTTACTTCATGTATGGTTTATTAATAGTCTCATCAATGACTTAGTCAGTATTGAACAAGAAAATTAATAAAAAACATGTAAAAAAACTCCACTTATTCTATTAATAAAAAAAACAATTTATAACATTATTTATATTTGATAAATGATACTAAACATTAACTCTATTAGTTATTTGTTATTTAAATTTATTTCACATTTTTCTACAAACGTATTATTTCATGTTACATATTTAAGTTTTCACAAAAGGTATTCATATATTATCTTTATGCTCAAAATAAAAATAAAAACTATTTTTTTTTTTAAGGTTATTTCACAAATAAAAATAAAAAAAAATTATTCTTTATTTATGCATTAAATTTTTTTTTCTTATGTACAAACAAAAAAAAATATAATATTTTTTTTTTCTCACGATACATATTTTTAATATACACAAAATTCTTTCTTTTTTTTTTTTGTGCTTTTAGTGTAAACCTTTAGATGTACATATTTTTCCCACATATTATGCACATACGCATAAAAATATATACTTAATATATTTATTTAAAAATCATTTAAAATATGTTCATAATACAATTCACAGACCAATATGGAAAAGAGCCATAATGCTTATATTGAGTATTTCAAATGTAATTCTTTACTTTATTTCTTTCGTATAATAACATTTCATATGAAATAACACTACAAACATTAATATCTTTATTACTGATTTTGTTCTTAATCTATTTAAATCTTATGTGCTTGTTTTTATCTATAATTTAAATGTATCATTCTCATCTATGAAGCGTTTTTAACTAATAATTTCGAAAAAATCGAATAGATCAATCGATTCTA